CTGCTGCTCCCATTGGCTGGATTCCGGCCAACAGGAGCAATGGGGAAAGCCTCTAGGCTGTGCGTTCGTGTACTTCTTCCCCATGAGCTGGATCACGCAGCAAGGCTTGGGGCTTTATCTCCCTTCCCCACCACCACAGGAAGCTGGTGCTGGTGCTCCAATCTTGCAGGGGGGAGGGATGCAAGGCTGGAGTGCCAGCACCAGCTCCCCACTGTGAAGACAGCAAAAGGAGAGTGTTGAGCTTGAGCTGTGAAACCACTACAAAAGAACCATATTTGGCTCCATAATGAACCATATTTGTTTCGGGAGCCATAGGTTGCTGAGCCCTGGTCTAGATTATCCCTGACAGGTGTCTGTCTAACTAGTTCTTAAAGATCTCCATGATGCAGATTCCACAACCTCCCTAGGCAATTTATTCCAGTGCTTAACCACACTGACAGTTAGGAAGATTTTCCTAATGTCCAATTAGGAAGCCCATTGCTTCTAGTTAGGAAGTCCACTGCTTCTTGTCCTATAATCAGAAGTTAAGGGGAATAATTTTTCTCCCTCCTCTTTTGAACAACCTTTTAAATACCTGAAAGCTGCTATCATGTCCCTTCTCAGTCTTCTCTTTTCCAAAATAAACAAACCCAGTTCTTTCAGTTTCCCCTCATTGGTCATGTTTTCTAGACAGTTAATCATTTTTTTGCTCTTCTCTGGACTGTCTACAATTTCTCCACAACTTTTCTGAAATGTGGTGCCCAGAACTGGATATAATACACCAGTTGAAAGCCTAATCAGCACAACAATTATTTTTTGTGTCTTGCACACAATACTCTTTTTAATGCATCCCAGAATCACGGGTTTTTTTCCCTTCAAGTGTCACACTGTTGAATTATATTTAGCCTGTGATCCACTATGACCCCTAGATCCCTTTCTACAGTACTCCTTCCTACACAATCACTTCCCATTTTGTATGTATGAAACTGATTGGACCTCCCTAAGTCGAGTACTTTACATTTGTCCTTACTGAACTCCATCCTCAGACCATTTGTCCAGTTTGCCCAGATCATTCTGAATTATGACCCTATCCTCCAAAGCAGTTGCAACCATGCCCAGCTTGGTATGATCTACAAACTTTATAAGAGTACTCTATGCCATTATCTAACTTGCTGATGAAGATACTGTACAGAACTGGTCCCCAAAATGATCCTTGGGGAATCCTACTTGTTATGCCCTTCCAGCATGACTGTGAATCAGAGTGGTTACCCAAACAATTATCCACTCACCTTATAGTATATTGATAAGAAGGACATACAAGACTGCATTCAATCTATACATATTTCAGAGTGCATCTGTCTGCCAGTATGTCTGTCTGTGAGTCCATTTGTTCAAGAACTCCTCCTAAATGGTAAAAGGTGGGGCCACCAAATTTGGCATGCAGCTTACTCATATCCTAACTTAAAGCAAGATCTGGTTTTGGTTGTGCCAGGGCAACCAGAAGCTCCAGCAAAGGAGCTGTTTTCCATAACATGCAAAAGAAGGGACTCCTGTTGGGAGGGATGTGATAATGAGAGTGGCCACTGGGGGCAGCAAGCCTGCAGGGAAGAGCTATACTGCAAATTATCCACTGTGGATATTTACTAGAGTCAGACATAGTACCAAAGGAGTGGACGGGAGCTGGGGCTCTGCCATATTGCCTGTCACTAGACCAGCCCCTCTCCACACTGGGAGGAGATAAAGAGGAGGGAGAGAGCCCCTCACCCTGTGAGGGTAGGAGCCCCAGCCCCAGGAGGGGCTAGGGGTGAGGAAGAAAGCCTCCTCACCCCAGGAGGGGTCAGGTGGGAGGGAGAGAGCCCCTTGCCTCAGGAAGGGTCACAGAGGCAGGAGAGAGTCCCCACTGGTCTCCAGGGACAAGCCAACAGCGGCGTGCAGAGTCCTCACTGCCTTAGGCTGTCTCCAAGCAGAAGTCCGTGGCCAACATAACCCCCTGTCCTGAGCCCCTTCTCGTTTCCTGCCCTGACTCCTGCACCCCCCAGAACGCCAGCTCCCTGCCTTGAAGGACCTCGGCAATGCTGGGTAAGTGATCTAGTGCTTTATTAAAGTCTAGGTATATCATGTCTATCACTTCCCTTGTATCCACAAGGCTACTTATTGCCTCAAAGAAAGCTATCAGGTTGGTTTAACATGATTTGTTCTTGACAAATCCATGGTGACTTTAACTTATTGCCTTCCAGATGTTTGCAGATGGATTCTTTAATTATTTGCTCCATTATCTTTAAAAGTATAACATAAGGATGTACTATATGCATGAAAACTGCTTTGTCTTGCTGTAGGGAGATTCTTTCTACGAGTGGCAGAATATCTAAAATGCTTGCAGTTTGTGTCTTCTCTTTTCATTTTTACAGTACACAGCACAATGAGGCCCTGATCCTAACAGGGACCGCTGCACCTTACTGTAATATGTGTAACATAAATGTAGTATTCTTTCTCTCAGCCACCACTGGAAAGCATCAGATTGCAAATTTTCTTATGTCAGCTCATGATCACACAAGATTCAAGTACAGCAAATGATGTTAGATGGAATTTTTCAGTGGTATTTTCCTCAGCTATATAAGCATATGATTTCTATCTATAAAAATCTTGCATATAAGACTAGTATAGACTGGAGCTTTTGAAAATCCTACCATTTCTCCATCCTTTAATTCTCACATGCTTCTCTCTCTTTTGATAAAACTGTTTTCAGTGACCACCAATGAACAAAGACTGTAAAACTGAGAAATGATAAATTTCTACATGGTCATTTCAAAACTCTGAGTAAGGTACTAAAAGATGAATTTTAGTTTAGCACTTAGAATTTCATATTTTGTTTTATATCAAAATGGTGATGCAATGCTTCTCTACATGATGAACATAGAGGTGAGGCAAAGGACTATGACAATGATTTTTTGTGAGTAATGGCAGAGTATTTTCGTCTCTGCATGACAAGAAGGTTATGGGTTATGTCCTCAGTCTTTGAGGTGAGGACTTTTCAAAGTGTATGACTTAACCTCCAGTTATGATGACTGTTACACTCAATCTCAAAATAATTTAGAAAGCTGCAGACCACTTAAGAAGTACTTCTGACAGGGAGAATATCACCTGTGCTATGTGATTTGTGTGGACTGGCAGGTTGTTTCCTGGTAAAGTTTATGTTTTGGTTTTGATCTCTCAAGTCCTAAATGCTTTTGATACTGGCCACGTGGTAAGTATAAAGTCATGATCATCGAAGATAATGGAGTTTACAGCATTTTGGATTATGGCTGGCAGCAGGGACTTTCAGACGGGATCTTAGACTTTAACTCACTTCCTTCCTTGATGGAGTCCAATCAATTAAAGATGTGTGAGTTATGCATTTTTTCAAAGATTTTACTTGTGGCAAGACCGAAAAAGCCTCTTTTGGATTTTGATAGAAACACAACAGTATTTAATGAAGCTTGAGAAATTATTTTAGTCAAAACTAACCATCTCAAAACCAGGAGTGTGTGTGTGTCCATTTCTTTATAGATGAATGGACCTTCACTTTACTGACTATGTGGTCATTAAAGACAATTAGATACTGAAAAATTAAGCAACATTTAATATGTGGCTGAAGGGTAAGTATGTAGGGTCTGAACCCCACAACTGAATAGCTATGTAAACACACAATATATTATCTTTTACAAGGGTATATCCTTTGTGAAGATGTTTTATTGAAACTTTATTGGTAATAGGGTATATTGTAGTGCATGCGGTCTAAGTTATTCTACTTCTGAAATGTTGATATATGGTAAACAACATGTTTTAGTGTTTACAACTTGGTTTATATGTGTGGAGAATAGATTACTTTCCATAACCATTGAAAAATCTCAATTTTAGAACACAGACCCCTGCAAGAATGTAACTCAAGTCTTTCTCAGGCTCCCCAAGGATGGTGATAACAGAATGCCCATGAGTTAAGATCAGAAAATGAAAAGGCCACTCAGAATTTCAGGTGACTATTCACATTTCAAGTCTGGGAAAGGCTGTCCAACTTGCTTATATTTTTAAAAAGTAGTTGCCTTTATTTTCAAAACCAAAATTGTTTGGAGTGGAGCAGGAGGACAATGGAAGCATTTCAAGGAGAATCTGCTGCAGGATGACCTTCCTGTCTTGTCCCCAACTCTGTATCTCAGCAGCTCTCTGACTCATACATATCAATGACTGAATCAATAAATAAATGTTCAGGATAAATGCCAGCATGGGATGTTCTAAAAACACAATGAATGGAAAAGAAAGTCCTAATTGGGATGGCAACAAGGAATTTCACATAAAGCACTTTTGCACAATGGTACCACTATGGTTTGCTGTGTAAAATCTTTGAAAACAAGTTATTAGGTTCAATTAGTATATTTGCCTCTTCAAATGCCTGTTTAACCAAAACTCCACATTAATCATGCACCATCTTTTATATACACTTGTGCTTTTATTTTTATATATATGTTGGCCCTTTTGTTACAATACATATATAACTGTCAGTTTTAAATATACAAAAGTGAGTCATTTTATTTATTTTTAAAGGTACAACCACAAGAAGTGGTGTGTGAACAGAAACCTTCAGCTATGGAAAGTTACACAGAGTGGAGAATCTCACTTAGTCACAGAGGTTCAGCTGATCAGATGAAGACTATAAATATAAACCACTTTCCAGATTAAAATAAACTAAAACAGACAACCTGCTAGCAGACAAACAGAAAGGTAAAGGTGCATCGTTCAACCAGCAGTCAAATGAATACTGATAGTAGTACAGTATCCATGGACTAAAGTAGTCTGGAAAGCTGAGAAGACATTCATAATCTGTGTCCTGGTTTATTTTTTTCTTAGACACTGTTGCAAAAACATCCAGCATAATAAAAAAAAGTCTGAAATATGACTTAAAATTTAATCCGATAAGACATGACTTAAAATTTAATCCGATAAAGTAATGTGCACTCTGGATGCCAAGTTTAAAAATCAAGATTTACCTGATGGACTCTGTGCTGCAGAAGGAGTTGAAGTTGAGCTGGTAGTAACCGAATCACAGTGTCCAGTACTCCCACTGCCACTGGAAGAAGGAGATGGCGATGAAAGTGGTGATGGACTGTGCTGGTTGATACACTGGGCTACTGCAAAACCTACAAGATAAGACAATGACATTTAATAACAAATTATTCAAACAGGACCTCACAATGTTGATTCAATTCATTAAAAGGCGCTCAGTTGGGAGGGCTGAGAAGCAAGTTACTCCTAACTGAAAAATGCTACATAAACTTGCAGGTGGATGATGGAAGAAAGATGCAGAGATGCTTGGTAAAGACACAAAATGAATTTGTGAAACAATATGGACAGTGATCTGATGGATGCTTGAAAGCTATTGCCAATTTCAGTAAATACTGGGGGGCACAGATCAGTGTGGCACTCGTCATCAGTATTTGACCAGGTACAAACTGGGGAAGCTAATGATCCAACCAGTGAACCAAACTCAATGCTGATCCTGGTCAGGTGCCCTTGATGTGCATTGTCCATATGTGAAGTAGTAATAAATACTGACTTAAATAAATTCAAAGACAAACTGCCAAAAAGAGAGCTTTACTAATGTTACACTGGACACAGCTGTTTCATTGTGAGGCTGAAAACCTGTAGAGTACTTTTCATTGGAAAACCACCATGTATGGAGGATTTTATCAATCAAACCAAATGCAGACATTACATGCTTTTCCAGCTGTTGGGGAGACTTTCTCCAGTCAGAATATAACAGAGTATTATAAAATATCTGATCTTCCTCTCTTCCCAATGAAGAATACTTTTAACCCCACTCAAGAAGTGTAGTGTACAGATTCTATTATGCAGCACTTTTCATGTTCTTGTGGTACACCATCGTCACTTGAGGCAGAAGACGTGGAAACATTTAGCACTATAAGACTTGTTTTGCTTGGTGTATGCTTTTTAAACACTTGACATCTGTTCTTTTTAAATGAGAAAAACATCTAAAAGTGAACATGGAGTGAAGTGCATGCAAACTGAATGAACAATTTTTACAAATACCATAATACACAATGCATGCCATAATACCCAAATACAATGTATAACACAAATAAAAAAACAAGGGCCCAAAAGATACCATCATGCCTAAATAAAGTAAGAGGGGCTGTTAAAGACAAAAAGATATCTGTTAAAAACTGAAGTCACAGTCTACTGAGGAAAACAGAAAGGAGCATAAACGTTGGCAAGTCAAATATAAAAATACATTTATGCAGAGCAGATAAATATTTGACGAGCAACTAACAAAAGACACAGAAACTAACAGCAATTGTTTAAACAATAATAAACCACTGGGACCAGATAATTCTGAAGGGTTCTGAAAGAACTCAAATATGAAATTACAGCACTACTAACTGTGGTATGTAATCTACCATTTAAATTAGCTTCCTGAAAAAATGAGGAACAATGACTCTTGCCCAAGAGGGGATTTTGCATAAAAAGGAGCCATCTACACTGCTCCTTTTTTTGCAAAAGCATCTTGCGCAAAACCGTCTGCTAATTAATTATGCAAATGAAGTGTGGTGATATTCTACTCTGCTCTTCTTTTGCATAAGCTTTTGCGGAAGAAAGCTGCAGTATTAGATGTAGCCATAGTGTCAGAGGGAATGTCCTCTCATGTATCAGTAACAGGAAAATAGGAAAGAAAAAGTGGACAGAAAAGGTCAGTTTTCATAGGGCAGAGAGGTAAATAGTGGTGTCCTCCAAGGAAGAAGGGAGTAAACAGCAAGATAGCAAAGTTTGCAGATGATACAAAATGACTTTAGTTAAGTCCAAAACTGACAGTAAAGAGTTACAAAGGGATCTCACAAAACTTGGTGATTGACTTTCACCTGCCATTTTCTTGCCCATTGTTGATAAATGCAAAGTAAAGCATGCTGGAAAACATAATTCCAACGATACATACAAAATACTGGCATAGACAAAATACTGGGGTTTAAATTAGGTAAACCACTAAGAAAGATCTTTGCATCACTATGGATACGTCTCTGAAAAAATCTGCTCAGCATGCAGCAGTAGTTTAAAAAACCAAACAAACAGAATGCTAGTAACCATTAGGAAAGGGATAGATAATAACAAAACACATGACAATGCCACTAAGTAAATCCATGTGTGCAGGCCTGGCTGCTGCATCTCAAAAAAGACATATTAGACTTGGAAAAAATGCAGAGGAGGGCAAAGCAACAAAAGTTCTTAGCAGTATAGAACTTCTATATGAGGACAGATTAAAGAAACTAGGAGTATTCATTTTAGAAAAGAGACAGCTAAGAGGGAATGAGTGAGAGCTATGAAAATCAAACACCACCCCAGACAGGACAGTGGGATAGATCATTTGATAACTGCTCTTTTGTGTTCATTCCCTCTGAAGCATCTAGCATTAGCCACTGTCAAAGACAGGATACAGGGTTTAGGATGATTTTCTGCTAGTTGGTATTATAGCAGTTGATGTATATTCTTTTTGCTTTATACTTCATTGCAAAGGTCATTTAGGACTGCTACTGCTATAGGAGGAATAGTGATGAAGGAAGATGTAGAACACAACTTCTCAATATTTACCCACTTTCAAAAATTTCAGTTTGAGTGATTTGCCCAAGACCACAATGCAACTCAACAGCAAAGTCAAGATTATAAATTCTCAAGCAACAAATTATGAGTTCTTAATATCCCCAAGTCCTCTAGATGAGAAAAAAAATGTTCTTGTCTTTAGCAGTTTGCATAATATTGAAAAGAAGTTTCATTTTTATATATAGAGTGCCATGAAGTGAAATAGAACAGCCTTTTGGTTATTATCATTCATTCACATTTCACTTACATCAAGTGAATATTAGAATGCATCTGCTTATCCACATGCGGACTGGCTTCTTCGGGACTACTTGTAATTTCTAATGTGACTGCGGATCATACACAACATTGGCTGCATTTTTTAACAGCTGATATTTTACAGGGTCTTTTAAAAACAATATTACATAGTACCATGGTGTTAAATAATACAGTCTTTTTATAGATTAATTTCAACAGACGTTCCAAGGTGTCTTAATGCTAAAGCTTATATTCAACGGCTCAATGTCTATGAACAGGACAATAGGACAGGGTTTAGTAGCTGACACGTAGGAGCTTGAAGAGAAATAACTGTGTACATCAGAATAAGTACCTCAACAACTCAATGATTTATTCTGGATTTACTGCAAATATTTGCTAAATGGCAGAGACATCCCACATACACGGTGTTGCTTGATTTGTTTCAGATTGGACATCACCAAGTTATTTCTCCCAGTCACTGTCTTCTGCACAGGCAAAAATATTGTCATGGATCTTACAGAGTATATGAACAGTGCTTGTCTCTCTCTACCTGGTATAGGTTTAGGCATGGCCAAAACTGAAACACACTCTTGTAAGCTCTCATCAAAATAGCCCAGCAAAAATTACCAGCATTTTCATGTCACCAATGTCTATGTTCCAAGTATAAACAGAACAGAAACTTGACACAATACTGCAATGTTATTTTGATACTTGAGCCACCAAATGCCCAGGCAATACAATTGGCTTATATAACTCTGTAACCCATCTAATTTACAACTCCAGGATCCTGGCACACTTTCTTGATCAAATTATGAGGCAGTCTCCACGGGAAAATGATAATATAAGGTCTGTCAGCATTTTGACAAATGCCTCTATTACCTTGGAGATACTCAGCATAAGGTACAATTTATTTAACTTTTCCCAATATCATTTTTGGATTCTTCTGATATTTCTCTGACTTTTCTTGCCAAATATCATGACCACCTCCTGGCTCACAGTAAAGTCACATCCACTAATATTGCAGAAATCAAGTATTTGTCCACATTGACTATCAGTAACCCAGATTAATTATTTGTAGCAGCTATTCTGAAAACTGGAATTCTTCTTCTGTCTTCTCCAGGATACACCCATCTTTTGTGTTTTCTTTTCTCTTCTCCGTTGTGGCCACCTAAAGCCTTGAATTGCAGTGTGAGATGCATTGTCAGGCTCCCAGGCACCGGAGCCCTCTGTCCCCTGCACTAACTGGGAAGAAGCGGAGGCGCTCTGCGGCCGGGGAACGACTCCCCTGCGGCACTGTGGGGGTTGCTCGCATGCTACTCCTGGCGCATACGCAGAAGCGCCTGATGCCAGTGGGCGGCTTGAGAGGTCTGCGCTGGTGCGGGCGTCCGAGAAAAGCTGGGTGCCAAGATTAAAAGGTAAGGGGGAAGGACGGAGCTGCGTAAGGACCTCCCCTCATGGGGTGAGCCAGGCCCATGGAGCTACACAGAGGGTAGGAAGCGGCCCAGGTTGGGGTAGTGCAGAACCCGCAGGTTGGGGTATGTCCCCACCAACCGAGCAGAGAAACGCTGCCTCTGCTCTTATGGTTCTGGATCAAGACCTGAAGTGAGGGAGGTCCCAGGTCTCCCTACCCTCCTAGTCCAAGGGATGCAGATTGTTAGAACGAGCGAACGAAGATGGATGGCAAGGACTAATAGCACGTGCGAGTGACTTATTGCTGATTAGATAAGGACACAGATGATGGGCTCACGGGGGAATAATTTGGGGATGTCTACATTTTAAAGAAGCAGTATTTTAAAGAAGCCTTATTGACTGCACAGAAAGAAACCATCCCGATGTGAGGCAAATATGGTAGGAGACCGGATTGACTTACAGTGGAAATCCTTGGTGAACTTAAGCACAAAAGGGGAGCTTACAAAAAGTGGAAACTTGGACAAATAACCAGGGAGGAGTATAAATGTATAGCTTGAGAATGCCAGGGGCTTATCAGGAAGGCAAAAGCGCAATTGGAATTGCAACTGGAAAAGGATGTGAAGGATAACAAGAAAGGTTTCTACAGGCATGTTATCAAGAAGAAGTTGATCAGAGAGGGTGTGGAGCACCTACTCGATGAAGGAGATAACCTAGTGACAGATGATGTGGGGAAAGCTGAAGTACTCAATGCTTTCTTTGCCTCTGTCTTCACAGATAAGGTCAGATCCCAGATTAATGCACTAAGTGACACAATATGGGATGAAGATGGACAGCCCTTGGTGGATAAAAAACAGTTTAGGGTCTACTTAGAAAAACTAAAAGTACA